ATATTTTTGAAAGCATTCTTACTTTATAGCATTTTTTCACACCTGCCTAAAACTTTTGCACAGTACTGTATATGTTTGCTGTTGCAGTCTGGAAGAAAACAGCTCAGAGTATACAAAGAAGTTGTGTCTGTATGAGACTCTGTGGAGCTGATACATGGTTAAAATATTATCAGTTGAGAACATACATGAAACCTGGTAAAGGTAAGCCAAGCAAACTGAACACATAACGGTCTTTCTGCATTCATACAAGTCTGCCTATACACAGGTTCACAACTAGTAAAACTCTGTTATTGGAAAAGATTGTAAGTCTTGTAGGTGCAGAAAATAAACATACAGTGGTATATTCTGAAGAACCTGAAAAAGTAAAAAGGATTCCTTTTTTACTCAGCTTTTCAAATGTTATGAATCACTGTGCTAGGGAAAAAAATCCGGTCATCAAGGCTATTTCTATCCTTCAAATGGGTTAATGTGCACCATAAAATTTATTTCAAGCCAGGCTGCTTATTTGTTACCTTTAGAAAGTAGTCATTCAGGTTTTGCTGTTGCTAGCTCAAATTCAAACTTGGAAACCCCCAAATGTATATTCATAAATATATTTGGTTTCCAATTATCTTGTAGTCTTAACAAAGTAAAGTCAGTTATCTTGATAAAATTAAAAGTAATACAGATATTTTCTTTGTGAAATATTTAATGACAAGTTCAGTACCTGAAGCACTGGGTCTTATCAAGCTTTTCTTTTTCTCCCATTCCCCAAATGAAGCCAATATATGGTAATTGCTGAACAAAGATGATTCAGTAAATGTTATTACATATGCCATGACTTTGGCAACTTTTACTAAGTTACAATCCTTGTCGTCATCTCCTCTCACACATCCCTCTCTCCTGATATTTATTTATTTATGAATTTATACAACTGCTCAACTCAAACTTTGTGACCCTGGGCAGCACACAAAAAGACCAAAAAGAAAACCACAATTAGTTAATACAAATAAGATAGCTCATTAAAACATACTAACAATAAAATGGCAAATAGAACTGCAATCTTCTACAAACGCTCATTGGAGATAGGCCCAACCTGACTTTAAAGCCCAGGGGAAGAATCAGGTCTTCACCACCTTCCTACAGGCTTGTAGAGTTGGGGCCAACTGTATGTCCAGGGGAGGGCAGGGATTGCCACAGAGAAGACAGGCCTCCTGGATCCCATGAGATTACATTGTTTTAATGAAGGGACCCAATGTATCTACCCTCACTGGAATGTGTGGGACACGCAGATACTCTTAGAGGCAAGCAATCCTGCAGAAAACCTGGTCCTGTGCTATGTAGAGCTTTTGACTGTGAAATTCCAACTAATTTCTTTGAAAGGAATAATACATGAAAACATCTCAGCTTACTGCAGTTATCACCATCTGACCTAGAGCTCTTTTCTTCCTCATAAAGACAATAGGTAGTCCTCGCTTAAAGACCACAATTGGGACCAGCAACTTTGTC